TTCTCATGGATCAGACACTCAACATATAAAATGACCTGTTTCAATAAAGTCAAAGCAGCCATATTGATTCATTTTAAATATATCAGAATCAGAATCAGAATACCTTTATTAGTCCCACGGAGAGGAAATGTGCGTAGTTACAGCCGGAGAAAGTTACATAATTTAAAAAAAGACACATCCTGTAACAGTTCTTAGGATTTAGCAGCCATATTACACAGTTATTAACAGCATCTATATATATTGCACATCTAGCACATATTGCACATAGGTGGTTGGTATTTAACAGCAGCAAGTTACACAATTTACAAAATACAATATACACACCTTGTAACAGTTCTATAACTACAGATCTGATTGGCTGTAAGTTGTAACACAGGTAGTGAATCCCGTCAGAAGACCTCCCTCTGAATGAAAATGGAGAAAGAGGAGCAGCCGCTCTGCACAGTCGCAGGATTAAACCCAACAAATGGCTTCAGTCATAATTAAGCCCCATTTGGAGGGATTAGTTTCTCCACAGCAGGAACTGTAATCATTTAAAAGTGAGGAGCACTGAACAGCCTGACCTCTGACCGTGGAGCAACTCATCCTGTATTAATGATCTTTTTTAATAAACTCATAATGCATTTTTAAACTTTGTTAAAACCTCACAGAATTGTATTTAATATCTTCTTTTTTCTTTAAATGCAGTCTGACAAAAAAAAAAAGGGTTTTTAAACATGCAAGCCTCACAGGGACGCAAGACCAATTCAATTTAAAGGTCTTTAACAAAGCTGTGCTTCTCCAGGCATAGAGGTGGACACACTGTTTAAGTCAGTCTGACCTTTTTAAAACATTTCAACTTCCCTGGAATAATTTAGCAGGATGTATTCCACAAAGCAGCATTTGTTTCAGTTAAATGTCAAACGTGTTTAAACTGAACTTTCACAGCAGAGCTTCTGGTCATTTGATTTATTCACTTAGTCAGAATTATGTTACAAGGCTTTTTGTAAAAAACTTTTTATTAAAGGGGCCATATTCTGCTGATGTTCAGGTGTATATCAGTGTGTAGTGTCTCTACTTTAAAGAGTCCTCTCCTGCTGATGTTCAGGTGTATATCAGTGTGTAGTGTCTCTACTTTAAAGAGTCCTCTCCTGCTGATGTTCAGGTGTATATCAGTATGTAGTGTCTCTACTTTAAAGAGTCCTCTCCTGCTGATGTTCAGGTGTATATCAGTATGTAGTGTCTCTACTTTAAAGAGTCCTCTCCTGCTGATGTCCAGGTGTATATCAGTATGTAGTGTCTCTACTTTAAAGAGTCTCTCCTGCTGATGTTCAGGTGTATATCAGTATGTAGTGTCTCTACTTTAAAGAGTCCTCTCCTGCTGATGTTCAGGTGTATATCAGTATGTAGTGTCTCTACTTTAAAGCGTCCTCTCCTGCTGATGTTCAGTGCTGTATATCAGTATGTAGTCTCTACTTAAGAGGCCTCTCTCTGATGTTCAGTGTATATCAGTATGTAGTCTCTACTTTAAAGAGTCCTCTCCTGCTGATGTTAAGGTGTATATCAGTATGTAGTGTCTCTACTTTAAAGAGTCCTCTCCTGCTGATGTTCAGTTGTATATCAGTATGTAGTGTCTCTACTTTAAAGAGTCCTCTCTGCTGATGTTCAGTTGTATATCAGTATGTAGTGTCTCTACTCTGTAAGAGTCACTCGCCTGCTGATGTTTCCCAAAGAGGTGTAAATATCAGTAGTATTGTCTCTACTTTAAAGAGGCCTCTCCTTCTGAATTTTCAGGTGTATATCAGTAGGTATTGTCCTCTACTTTAAAGAATTCCTCTTCTCTGATGTTCATGTGTATTCATAAATTAGTGTCTCTACTTTAAAGAGTCCCTCTCCTGCTGATGTTCAGGTGTAATATCAGTATGTAGTTCTCTAATATTAAAGAGTCCTCTCCTGCTGATGTTCAGGTAGTATATCAAGTATGTAGTGTCTCTACTTTAAAGGTCCTCCCTCCTGCTGAGTGTCAGGTGTATATCAGTATGTAGTGTCTCTACTTAAAGAGTCCTCTCCTGCTGATGTTCAGGTGTATATCAGTATGTAGTGTCTCTACTTTAAAGGAGTCCTCTCCTGCTGATGTTCAGGTGTATATCAGTATGTAGTGTCTCTACTTTAAAGAGTCCTCTCCTGCTGATGTTCAGGTGTATATCAGTAGTGTAGTGTCTCTACTTTAAAGAGTCCTCTCCTGCTGATGTTCAGGTGTATATCAGTATGTAGTGTCTCTACTTTAAAGAGTCCTCTCCTGCTGATGTTCAGGTGTATATCAGTATGTAGTGTCTCTACTTTAAAGAGTCCTCTCCTGCTGATGTTCAGGTGTATATCAGTATGTAGTGTCTCTACTTTAAAGAGTCCTCTCCTGCTGATGTTCCAGGTGTATATCAGTATGTAGTGTCTCTACTTTAAAGAGTCCTCTCCTGCTGATGTTCAGGTGTATATCAGTATGTAGTGTCTCTACTTAAAGAGTCCTCTCCTGCTGATGTTCAGGTGTATATCAGTATGTAGTGTCTCTACTTTAAAGAGTCCTCTCCTGCTGATGTTCAGGTGTATATCAGTATGTAGTGTCTCTACTTTAAAGAGTCCTCTCCTGCTGATGTTCAGGTGTATATCAGTATGTAGTCTCTACTTTAAAGAGTCCTCTCCTGCTGATGTTCAGGTGTATATCAGTATGTAGTGTCTCTACTTTAAAGAGTCCTCTCCTGCTGATGTTCAGGTGTATATCAGTATGTAGTGTCTCTACTTTAAAGAGTCCTCTCCTGCTGATGTTCAGGTGTATATCAGTATGTAGTGTCTCTACTTTAAAGAGTCCTCTCCTGCTGATGTTCAGGTGTATATCAGTATGTAGTGTCTCTACTTTAAAGAGTCCTCTCCTGCTGATGTTCAGGTGTATATCAGTATGTAGTGTCTCTACTTTAAAGAGTCCTCTCCTGCTGATGTTCAGGTGTATATCAGTATGTAGTGTCTCTACTTTAAAGAGTCCTCTCCTGCTGATGTTCAGGTGTATATCAGTATGTAGTGTCTCTACTTTAAAGAGTCCTCTCCTGCTGATGTTCAGGTGTATATCAGTATGTAGTGTCTCTACTTTAAGAGTCCTCTCCTGCTGATGTTCCAGGTGTATATCAGTATGTAGTGTCTCTACTTTAAAGAGTCCTCTCCTGCTGATGTTCAGGTGTATATCAGTATGTAGTGTCTCTACTTTAAAGAGTCCTCTCCTGCTGATGTTCAGGTGTATATCAGTATGTAGTGTCTCTACTTTAAAGAGTCCTCTCCTGCTGATGTTCAGGTGTATATCAGTATGTAGTGTCTCTACTTTAAAGAGTCCTCTCCTGCTGATGTTCAGGTGTATATCAGTATGTAGTCTCTACTTTAAAGAGTCCTCTCTGCTGATGTTCAGGTGTATATCAGTATGTAGTGTCTCTACTTTAAAGAGTCCTCTCCTGCTGATGTTCAGGTGTATATCAGTATGTAGTGTCTCTACTTTAAAGAGTCCTCTCTGCTGATGTTCAGGTGTATATCAGTATGTAGTGTCTCTACTTTAAAGAGTCCTCTCCTGCTGATGTTCAGGTGTATATCAGTATGTAGTGTCTCTACTTTAAAGAGTCCTCTCCTGCTGATGTTCAGGTGTATATCAGTAAATGTAGTGTCTCTACTTTAAAGAGTCCTCTCCTGCTGATGTCAGGTGTATATCAGTATGGTAGTGTCTCTACTTTAAAGAGTCCTCTCCGCTGATGTTCAGGTGTATATCAGTATGTAGTCTCTACTTTAAGAGTCCTCTCCTGCTGATGTTCAGGTGTATATCAGTATGTAGTGTCTATACTTTAAAGAGTCCTCTCCTGCTGATGTTCAGGTGTATATCAGTATGTAGTGTCTCTACTTTAAAGAGTCCTCTCCTGCTGATGTTCAGGTGTATATCAGTAGTAGTGTCTCTACTTTAAAGAGTCCTCTCCTGCTGATGTTCAGGTGTATATCAGTATGTAGTGTCTCTACTTTAAAGAGTCCTCTCCTGCTGATGTTCAGGTGTATATCAGTATGTAGTGTCTCTACTTTAAAGAGTCCTCTCCTGCTGATGTTCAGGTGTATATCAGTATGTAGTGTCTCTACTTTAAAGAGTCCTCTCCTGCTGATGTTCAGGTGTATATCAGTATGTAGTGTCTATACTTTAAAGAGTCCTCTCCTGCTGATGTTCAGGTGTATATCAGTATGTAGTGTCTCTACTTTAAAGAGTCCTCTCCTGCTGATGTTCAGGTGTATATCAGTATGTAGTGTCTCTACTTTAAAGAGTCCTCTCCTGCTGATGTTCAGGTGTATATCAGTATGTAGTGTCTATACTTTAAAGAGTCCTCTCCTGCTGATGTTCAGGTGTATATCAGTATGTAGTGTCTCTACTTTAAAGAGTCCTCTCCTGCTGATGTTCAGGTGTATATCAGTATGTAGTGTCTCTACTTTAAAGAGTCCTCTCCTGCTGATGTTCAGGTGTATATCAGTATGTAGTGTCTCTACTTTAAAGAGTCCTCTCCTGCTGATGTTCAGGTGTATATCAGTATGTAGTGTCTCTACTTTAAAGAGTCCTCTCCTGCTGATGTTCAGGTGTATATCAGTATGTAGTGTCTCTACTTTAAAGAGTCCTCTCCTGCTGATGTTCAGGTGTATATCAGTATGTAGTGTCTCTACATGTCTCCTTGCTTTAATGTTAAAAAAAGCTCTTTATTTTTCTCTGTGCTGCAGCACCTCTTTTCACCCTCTGTCTGAAACCAGAGCCCAGTCTGCTCTGATTGGTTAGCTGGCTGGCTCTGTTGTGATTGGTCAACCGCTTAGAGATGTCCCGTCCCTTAGCCTATCACGTATTGGGCCTCTTTAAAAGATTTTTGGAAGCGACACATCTCTTGATTTGTTGGACTTTACTATCAACTCTGATGAATCTTTCTGAGCTAAACTCTGTCTTCTCGTTCCTGTCGCTCCTCCTCCAGGTCTTCGTAAAGGTCGGTTCTGGATCACGCCCGACCCGTACCACAACGACGACAACATCCAGATCGGGCGGGAAGTGAAGATCAGCTGCCAGGTGGAGGCCACGCCCCCCGAGGAGCTGCAGTTCAGCTGGCTGAAGAACGGCCGGCCGCTGAGGAGCTCCGAGCGGATGGTCATCACTCACACCGACACCGAGATCACGCCGGGGACCACCAACCTCGACATCATCGACCTCAAGTTCACCGACTTCGGCACCTACACCTGCGTGGCGGCGCTGAGGAACGGAGGGACGCCCGAGATCAGCATCGACGTGAACATCTCCTCCACCACAGGTGAGGCACCTGGGGAGGGAGACATGAGATACTATTATTAATGTACTACTTTTACTTTAACCTCTTAAGCACGGCGGGTCCCCCCATTGGACCCCTCCCACCGTTTTGTTTTCGAGATAATGTCTCAGGGCTTCTTAACATTTATGAAACTATTAATGTGTAGCACCAGATTAACGGGAAGAATGTCAGCTAACTGAAGATATGAACCATTTTTACCAAAACAAAACACAAGTCTCATAAGAAGCGTCTAAATGACCCCTGAGCGAAAAAACGCTAACGCACTGCGGCACACAATTCAAGATAAAGATACCCTTATTACTTATCGTAGCTGCACATAAAATATAGCCGATTAAAGCTGAGACTCCACTGATTATTTAGGTATAGTATCATCACTGAGCGATCCGAACTTGCGACAGGGGAAGCAAACACAGACATCACAACACGTACCTTTACGGAGCTTTTACGGCAGATCGTCTCACCGTAGCTGTCAATTAGGTCAAAAGACGTGTTCAATGGCATTAAAACGAAAAAAAAAGAGGCTACAACTGTTGATCCATAGGTTGATAATGTACCTGTGCCTTTGAAGAAATTATTTATAATCCATAAATCCATTTTTTATGTAGAAATCGGAGCGGAAAAGTTAGCTGCTAATGGTCGCCACCAGAGTGTATGCAGCTTCCGGTTTTGGTTACGCGTCACTCTCACTCCTTATCTGTTAACGTTTTGGTGTGTATATAACTTTCCCTCGATTCCATTGGCTCTAGCGGTTATAAAGAGATTCCATTGGCTCTAGCGGTTATAAAGAGATTCCATTGGCTCTAGCGGTTATAAAGAGATTTCATTCATCAAAATCGAGCAAGGGGGGCCAGAGATAGGTCAAATCCACCCAAATGACCCCAGAAGTGGGGGTTTTTGGCTAAATCTCTCTAAAAAGGTCAAATTTCACTTGTTTTGCATCAATCTTGATACAGGGTACTTATTATATGTTGTACTTTGGATTCCTAAAGCTTTTAGTCTACTAACCCATCATCCAAGGGTAGTTTTCACTATAAGTACAAAATAATTTTTGGACGGACACTATAATTTACAGTTTTTTACTATGTAAAATCTGAGTTTTCTTTAAATAAAAAACATCTATATTGATTCTGACTTTTCTACATCCAACTCACAGGTTTATCATTACTTTGAGAATAAAGATTATTAATGTAACCCTTTTAGAAGGGAAGATATGGTCATTTGTTCTGGGAATGGCATTTTCGAGCCTGAGGCCTGAAAAACAGGCTCAGGGCTTAACAGGTTAAAACCATCATGGAAACATTGAAAGTAATAGTTATAGTATATATATTACACATTATATTAAAATGTTGATTTCTCAATCATTCTCCAAATTAGAAACAACTGCCACAATCAACCAAAGTCTAGTTCTTAAAAACAATCTAAGGTGTTAGGGAATCATTTGCTTAGGTATTCAACCTTCGACCCAGTTCATCATGTTCTCCTCTCACTGTCTCTTTCCCACGGCATAGATCTACAGCCTGGGGTTCTGCTGCTATCTCTCTTAAGGAGGAGCAGCTTGGGTTCTGCTGCTGTCTCTCTTAAGGAGGAGCAGCTTGGGTTCTGCTGCTGTCTCTCTGAAGGAGGAGCAGCTTGGGTTCTGCTGCTATCTCTCTTAAGGAGGAGCAGCTTGGGTTCTGCTGCTATCTCTCTTAAGGAGGAGCAGCTTGGGTTCTGCTGCTATCTCTCTTAAGGAGGAGCAGCTTGGGTTCTGCTGCTGTCTCTCTGAAGGAGGAGCAGCTTGGGTTCTGCTGCTATCTCTCTTAAGGAGGAGCAGCTTGGGTTCTGCTGCTATCTCTCTTAAGGAGGAGCAGCTTGGGTTCTGCTGCTATCTCTCTTAAGGAGGAGCAGCTTTGGTTCTGCTGCTATCTCTCTTAAGGAGGAGCAGCTTGGGTTCTGCTGCTATCTCTCTTAAGGAGGAGCAGCTGGGGTTCTGCTGCTATCTCTCTTAAGGAGGAGCAGCTTGGGTTCTGCTGCTGTCTCTCTTAAGGAGGAGCAGCTTGGGTTCTGCTGCTGTCTCTCTGAAGGAGGAGCAGCTTGGGTTCTGCTGCTATCTCTCTTAAGGAGGAGCAGCTTGGGTTCTGCTGCTATCTCTCTTAAGGAGGAGCAGCTTGGGTTCTGCTGCTATCTCTCTTAAGGAGGAGCAGCTTGGGTTCTGCTGCTGTCTCTCTGAAGGAGGAGCAGCTTGGGTTCTGCTGCTATCTCTCTTAAGGAGGAGCAGCTTGGGTTCTGCTGCTATCTCTCTTAAGGAGGAGCAGCTTGGGTTCTGTGCTATCTCTCTTAAGGAGGAGCAGCTTTGGTTCTGCTGCTATCTCTCTTAAGGAGGAGCAGCTTGGGTTCTGCTGCTATCTCTCTTAAGGAGGAGCAGCTTGGGTTCTGCTGCCTATCTCTCTTAAGGAGGAGCAGCTTGGGTTCTGCTGCTATCTCTCTTAAGGAGGAGCAGCTTTGGTTCTGCTGCTATCTCTCTTAAGGAGGAGCAGCTTTGGTTCTGCTGCTATCTCTCTTAAGGAGGAGCAGCTTTGGTTCTGCTGCTATCTCTCTTAAGGAGGAGCAGCTTTGGTTCTGCTGCTATCTCTCTTAAGGAGGAGCAGCTTGGGTTCTGCTGCTATCTCTCTTAAGGAGGAGCAGCTTTGGTTCTGCTGCTATCTCTCTTAAGGAGGAGCAGCTTGGGTTCTGCTGCTGTCTCTCTTAAGGAGGAGCAGCTTGGGTTCTGCTGCTATCTCTCTTAAGGAGGAGCAGCTTTGGTTCTGCTGCTATCTCTCTTAAGGAGGAGCAGCTTTGGTTCTGCTGCTATCTCTCTTAAGGAGGAGCAGCTTGGGTTCTGCTGCTATCTCTCTTAAGGAGGAGCAGCTTGGGTTCTGCTGCTATCTCTCTTAAGGAGGAGCAGCTTGGGTTCTGCTGCTATCTCTCTTAAGGAGGAGCAGCTTTGGTTCTGCTGCTATCTCTCTTAAGGAGGAGCAGCTTGGGTTCTGCTGCTATCTCTCTTAAGGAGGAGCAGCTTGGGTTCTGCTGCTATCTCTCTTAAGGAGGAGCAGCTTGGGTTCTGCTGCTATCTCTCTTAAGGAGGAGCAGCTTGGGTTCTGCTGCTATCTCTCTTAAGGAGGAGCAGCTTTGGTTCTGCTGCTATCTCTCTTAAGGAGGAGCAGCTTGGGTTCTGCTGCTATCTCTCTTAAGGAGGAGCAGCTTGGGTTCTGCTGCTATCTCTCTTAAGGAGGAGCAGCTTGGGTTCTGCTGCTATCTCTCTTAAGGAGGAGCAGCTTGGGCGCATTGTTGTTGCCAGTCTATGACCGAGCACAAGCCGTCATGAGGTAGTTTACTGCTCAGGGACCCAATGCCCCGCATGTGCTGGATTCTCTTGTCCCATATGTGAAACCCATTGTCACAAACCTGGGTGTTCGGATTGATCGTGATTTTAAACTACACAAACAGATCAATTCTGTGGTCAAATCCAGCTTCTTTCAGCTAAGGCTTTTAGCAAAGGTCAAGCCTTTCCTTTCTTTTAATGACTTTGAGAAAGTAATACATTGTTTTATATCCACTAAACTGGATTACTGCAACGCTCTGTGCTTTGGAGTAAGCAAGGCTTCCCTGTCTCGCCTGGTCCAGAATGCTGCTGCACGCCTCCTTACAAGGACAGGCAGGCGTGAACATGTTACGCCTGTACTCACCTCGTTACACTGGCTACCAGTCCGTTTTAGAATACAATTGAAAATGTTACTGTTTGCATACAAAGCCCTAAACGGTTTAACCCCACCGTACCTGGCAGATCTTTTAAAACCATTCACACCCACACGGTCACTGAGGTCTGCTGACAGACTCCTTCTGGTCGTCCCTAAATCAAGGTTAAAGCAGCGAGGAGACTTTGCTGTTGCAGCTCCAAAGTTATGGAACGAATTGCTCCTCCAGGTTAGACTTGCTCCTCCAGGTTAGACTTGCTCCTCCAGGTTAGACTTGCTCCTCCAGGTTAGACTTGCTCCTCCAGGTTAGACTTGCCCCTCCAGGTTAGACTTGCTCCTCCAGGTTAGACTTGCTCCTCCAGGTTAGACTTGCTCCTCCAGGTTAGACTTGCTCCTCCAGGTTAGACTTGCTCCTCCAGGTTAGACTTGCTCCTCCAGGTTAGACTTGCTCCTCCAGGTTAGACTTGCTCCTCCAGGTTAGACTTGCTCCTCCAGGTTAGACTTGCTCCTCCAGGTTAGACTTGCTCCTCCAGGTTAGACTTGCATTTACAGACCAGGGGACACTTGTGCTTTTACATTTGGGTTTTTATCTTACTAGTGTCTTGTATTGTTTGTACGTCATGTAAGAGAGTTATCAGTCTGTGGCTCTGATCTGGTTTCATTGTCTCGCGTTTTACATTTGTTTCATGTCCTGTCTGTTTTTCATGTATTATTTATGCTATGTTTTTATACAGTTGTTGATGTACAGCACTTTGTTCAACTCTGTTGTTTTTAAATGTGCTATAGAAATCAAATGGATTGGATTGGAGGGACGTAGGTTCCCTGCCGCACATTCTTTTCTATGGACGACAGCTCTAGTTAGATTCAGGGTCCATATTTGTTTAGTCTCGCTGATGAGGAATGTTGATTATTACACTCTGAACTAGTTAAAACCTGGAACTACAGAAGAGTTCTTCAGAATTGGTTTGGCAACCGCTGTGACACCTCGTGACACACCACATGTCTTGTGAATTCTCCGGCCATAACTCGATAATAAACCGTCAGTGTTTGCCATCAAAGTTCCAGCTCTCCTCGTGTCTCTCTGAGTCTCCATTGCTTCAGAAGTTTCCATCACATAAGATAATTACCTGAACTGATCAACCTTAAAAACCAAAATAGGATACTGTGGGGGAAACTTCTGTAGCAATGGAGAGTCAGGACTCAGAGAGACACGAGGAGAGCTGGAGCTTTGCTGGCAAACACTGACGGTTGATTACGAGCTTCGGCCGGAGAATTCACAAGACGTGTCACGGGCCACGGTTTGACCACACGGATGAGATGCCACAATCAACTCTGAAGAACTCTTCTGTAATTTTAGGTTTTAACTAGTTCAGAGTGTAATAATCAACATTCTTCATCAGCGAGGCTAAACAAATATGGACCCTGAATCTAACTAGAGCTCTCGTCCATAGAAAAGAATGTGCGCCAGGGAACCTTCGTCCCTGAGCAGTAAACTACCTCATGGCGGCTTGTGCTCTGTCATAGACTGGCAACAACAATGCGCCCAAGCTGCTCCTCCTTCAGAGAGATAGCAGCAGAACCCCAGGCTGTAGACCTATGCCGTGGGAAAGGAGGCAGTGAGAGGAGAACATGATGAACTGGGTCAAAGGTTGAATACCTAAGCAAACGGATACCAAACATGAGTTGTGACAAAGAAATGGTGTTTTAGTGTTTTCACAAAGTGAACAGATGCAGGAGAACAGAGAGGCCTCACTTTCCTCTGACTTCACAAACTGCTGGAGTTCTCTTGGAGTTGAGGTCCTGCAGGGTTCAGAAAGGAAATCATAAAAGCTCCCTCCTCCTCCTCCTCCTCCTCCTCCTCCTCCTCCTCCTCCTCCTCCTCCTCCTCCTCAGAAGACGCTGCCTCAGCACCTGCAGTTTGTTGTTGCGTCACGTTAACGCCCCGCAGCCGATGGACAAATCGCTCACAACACAAGAAGAACTTTTCCGTCAGACGGACGTCATACAGGCGGTCGCTGCCGGCGGCGGCTGACTTCCTGTTTGTTTGTGACCTTGGCAGACGAGAGGAAACATTCAGAGGAGGGGGGGGGGGCTGCAGTCTGAACTGTGTGACGCCTGAGAGGGGGGGGGGGGGCTGCAGTCTGAACTGTGTGACGCCCTGAGAGGGGGGGGGGGGGGGCTGCAGTCTGAACTGTGTGACGCCTGAGAGGGGGGGGGGGGGGGGGGGGGCGGGGCTGCAGTCTGAACTGTGTGACGCCTGCTGAGGAGGGGGGGGGGGGGGGGGGCTGCAGTCTGAACTGTTGTGACGCCTGAGAGGGGGGGGGGGGGGGGCTGCAGTCTGAACTGTGTGACGCCTGCTGACGGATGTTTCGTGTTAAAACAGAAGGTCGTGCTCCGTTTGCTGCAGCACTCCCATAAGGAACATAAATGCTAAAACAGTCTCACTCTTCCTCCCCCCCCCCCCCCCCCCTCCCCCTCATCTCTCCCCCCTCCCCCTCATCTCTCCCCCAAACAGCAGCTCTCAGTGTGTTTTTAAATGAAGGACAAACTCCACATCAAACAGGAGAGACAAGCCGTTCTAATCATCTTCAGCTCGTTGTTCTCTCTCTGGAGGATAAAACATAATATTGCATTAAATTAATTCATCCAACAGCCTGAAAAAGGGTTAACACTTAAATCTGAAACTTAATTATGTAGAAATATCACTTCTTTTTAAAAAACTATTAGGATTCGGCGACATTTCTTTATAAGATAAGAGAATAATTACTTTATTGATCCCAATTTTGGAATTCTTTGCGAATTTTCTGAAATATATTAATGATATTATAACTACTGGTCGTACCATTTACGTTTTTTGTTTCTGTAAATGCCACAAAATGTAAATACAATATGTTTGATTTATTTAATCTCACCTTAAACATTAGAGGCAACCACCTTGACCCCCACTGGAGTCACCCCGAATTGCTCCTGAAGGGATTACGTTATTTATAGTTTCTTTTGTTCCTACAACGACCATACTGTAGAGGGCTTTCATAACATCTAAACATTAAAGGTCACCTATTATGCAAAATCCTCTTCTTCACGTCTCTCCTACATCAACATGTGTCCCCTCTTCTTCATGTCTCTTCTACATCAACATGTGTCCCCTCTTCTTCATGTCTCTTCTTCATCAACATGTGTCCCCTCTTCTTCATGTCTCTTCTTCATCAACACGTGTCCCCTCTTCTTCATGTCTCTTCTTCATCAACATGTGTCCCCTCTTCTTCACGTCTCTCCTACATCAACATGTGTCCCCTCTTCTTCATGTCTCTTCTACATCAACATGTGTCCCCTCTTCTTCATGTCTCTTCTTCATCAACATGTGTCCCCTCTTCTTCATGTCTCTTCTTCATCAACACGTGTCCCCTCTTCTTCATGTCTCTTCTTCATCAACATGTGTCCCCTCTTCTTCATGTCTCTTCTACATCAACAAGTGTCCCCTCTTCTTCATGTCTCTTCTACATCAACAAGTGTCCCCTCTTCTTCATGTCTCTTCTTCATCAACATGTGTCCCCTCTTCTTCATGTCTCTTCTTCATCAACATGTGTCCCCTCTTCTTCATGTCTCTTCTACATCAACATGTGTCCCCTCTTCTTCATGTCTCTTCTTCATCAACATGTGTCCCCTCTTCTTCATGTCTCTTCTACATCAACAAGTGTCCCCTCTTCTTCATGTCTCTTCTTCATCAACATGTGTCCCCTCTTCTTCATGTCTCTTCTTCATCAACACGTGTCCCCTCTTCTTCATGTCTCTTCTTCATCAACACGTGTCCCCTCTTCTTCATGTCTCTTCTTCATCAACATGTGTCCCCTCTTCTTCATGTCTCTTCTTCATCAACACGTGTCCCCTCTTCTTCATGTCTCTTCTTCATCAACATGTGTCCCCTCTTCTTCATGTCTCTTCTACATCAACAAGTGTCCCCTCTTCTTCATGTCTCTTCTTCATCAACACGTGTCCCCTCTTCTTCATGTCTCTTCTTCATCAACATGTGTCCCCTCTTCTTCATGTCTCTTCTACATCAACAAGTGTCCCCTCTTCTTCATGTCTCTTCTTCATCAACACGTGTCCCCTCTTCTTCATGTCTCTTCTACATCAACAAGTGTCCCCTCTTCTTCATGTCTCTTCTTCATCAACACGTGTCCCCTCTTCTTCATGTCTCTTCTTCATCAACATGTGTCCCCTCTTCTTCATGTCTCTTCTACATCAACATGTGTCCCCTCTTCTTCATGTCTCTTCTACATCAACATGTGTCCCCTCTTCTTCATGTCTCTTCTACATCAACATGTGTCCCCTCTTCTTCATGTCTCTTCTACATCAACATGTGTCCCCTCTTCTTCATGTCTCTTCTTCATCAACATGTGTCCCCTCTTCTTCATGTCTCTTCTTCATCAACACGTGTCCCCTCTTCTTCATGTCTCTTCTTCATCAACACGTGTCCCCTCTTCTTCATGTCTCTTCTTCATCAACATGTGTCCCCTCTTCTTCATGTCTCTTCTTCATGTCTCTTCTACATCAACATGTGTCCCCTCTTCTTCATGTCTCTTCTTCATGTCTCTTCTACATCAACATGTGTCCCCTCTTCTTCATGTCTCTTCTTCATGTCTCTTCTTCATCAACATGTGTCCCCTCTTCTTCATGTCTCTTCTTCATGTCTCTTCTACATCAACACGGTCCCCTCTTCTTCATGTCTCTTCTTCATGTCTCTTCTTCATCAAACATGTGTCCCCTCTTCTTCATGTCTCTTCTTCTTCATCAACATGTGTCCCCTCTTCTTCATGTCTCTTCTACATCACATGTGTCCCCTCTTCTTCATGTCTCTTCTACATCAACATGTGTCCCCTCTTCTTCATGTCTCTTCTTCATCAACATGTGTCCCCTCTTCTTCATGTCTCTTGCTCCATCAACATGTGTCCCCTCTTCTTCATCAACATGTGTCCCCTCTTCTTCATGTCTCTTCTTCATCAACATGTGTCCCCTCTTCTTCATGTCTCTTCTCCATCAACATGTGTCCCCTCTTCTTCATCAACATGTGTCCCCTCTTCTTCATGTCTCTTCTTCATCAACACGTGTCCCCTCTTCTTCATGTCTCTTCTTCATCAACACGTGTCCCCTCTTCTCATGTCTCTTCTCATCAACATGTGTCCCCTCTTCTTCATGTCTCTTCTTCATCAACACGTGTCCCCTCTTCTTCATGTCTCTTCTTCATCAACACGTGTCCCCTCTTCTTCATGTCTCTTCTTCATCAACATGTGTCCCCTCTTCTTCATGTCTCTTCTACATCAACACGTGTCCCCTCTTCTTCATGTCTCTTCTACATCAACATGTGTCCCCTCTTCTTCATGTCTCTTCTTCATCAACATGTGTCCCCTCTTCTTCATGTCTCTTCTACATCAACATGTGTCCCCTCTTCTTCATGTCTCTTCTTCATCAACATGTGTCCCCCTCTTCTTCTGTCTCTTCTTCATCAACATGTGTCCCCTCTTCTTCATGTCTCTTCTACATCAACATGTGTCCCCTCTTCTTCATGTCTCTTCTACATCAACATGTGTCCCCTCTTCTTCATGTCTCTTCTTCATCAACATGTGTCCCCTCTTCTTCATGTCTCTTCTCCATCAACATGTGTCCCCTCTTCTTCATCAACATGTGTCCCCTCTTCTTCATGTCTCTTCTTCATCAACATGTGTCCCCCTCTTCTTCATGTCTCTTCTTCATCAACATGTGTCCCCTCTTCTTCATGTCTCTTCTTCATCAACATGTGTCCCCTCTTCTTCATGTCTCTTCTTCATCAACATGTGTCCCCTCTTCTTCATGTCTCTTCTACATCAACATGTGTCCCCTCTTCTTCATGTCTCTTCTTCATCAACATGTGTCCCCTCTTCTTCATGTCTCTTCTACATCAACATGTGTCCCCTCTTCTTCATGTCTCTTCTTCATCAACATGTGTCCCTCTTCTTCATGTCTCTTCTACATCAACATGTGTCCCCTCTTCTTCATGTCTCTTCTACATCAACATGTGTCCCCTCTTCTTCATGTCTCTTCTTCATCAACATGTGTCCCCTCTTCTTCATGTCTCTTCTTCATCAACATGTGTCCCCTCTTCTTCATGTCTCTTCTTCATCAACATGAAGCTGTGATATATTGATGAGAAACAGTACAATAGGGGACCTTTAAATCAAAATGCAATGATGTGTCTCCCTGCAGTTCCTCCCGAGCTGTCGGTCCCCAGGGGGCGCTCTCACCTCATCGCTCAGGAGGGCGACACGGTGGACCTGCAGTGTCTGGTCTCAGGGAAACCCAAGCCCATCCTCCTGTGGTCCCGCGTGGAGGAGAGCGGAGCGGCGGCGGCGGCGGCTGCCACGGTGATCCTGATGCCCGACGGCTTGGAGCAGACGGAGAGCTACGACGGCGTCCTGAGGATCAGCAACGTGAGCAGAGAGATGGGCGGAGCCTACCGCTGCCAGACCAGCCAATACAACGGCTTCAACGTGAAGCCCAGAGAGGCCCTGATCCAGCTGGTGGTGCAGTGTAGGTAACGCACACACACACACACACACACACACACACACACACACACACACACACACACACACACACACACACACACACACACACACACACACACACACACACACACACACACAAATGTAAAACAAATTGGGGGAAATAAATGACATTTAGTGTTTTTGGTAATGGGGTAAAGATACAAAGAGAAAAACGGAAAGAGTTGGAAATGATTTTAGAGGGGCTTAATTAAAAACACAGTATTATCGTGTGTGTATTATTAACATTATATCTGTTGTTTATAAATGTAACGCTAGTAAATCTCATTAATAAGGTCGTATGTGTGCAAAACATCCAGTCAAATGAGCATTGATGGCACTAATTCATTAAATCATTTAATTGTAAGAAAGTGAAATTGGAAACACTTCGCTCTGGACATCATCTCAGATAAATCCATAAATTCTGCAATTGATCAAAAAGCGGCCTTTGACAGGAACTCTCCCCTCACCTGATGCGCACAAGTTTAATTTCCCAAAATGGAGCTCAAGTCAAAAGATGGAGGAGGGAAATGAGGAGGGAGGTTTTTAATCTCATGAGCTTTAATCTTTTGGAAATGAAAGAGAGCATCTCAGACTTCAGAGGAAGCTGGGAAACCACCTCTGATGGGAAACCAGAATTTAAATAAATTAGCATTTTAATCTCAGTCACCTTTAAGGCCTCTTTACTTCCTGCGATTCTGGAATAATTGACACTCTTGACCGCTTAACTCCACGCCAGCCAATCAGAACACAGTATGAGGTAACACAGAATCCATAAAGCAAAGGGAAACAAAACCCCAAATAAATCTGTTAATCCCTTTTAAAATCATCCCGTGTCCTAAAATAATCCACGTTTCTATATTTTAGCGTGACGCTGTTTGATGACGTGTCTTCCTCCTCACGAAGCCCTCTGTTTGTCATTTACTGTCAAAAGTCTTTTTTTATCTGAGACCAAAAATGCATCATCTGGCGCCGTAAACAAACACCAGAAGGCAGACGTGATGGTTTAGCCCCCAGGATACCCAGAATGCATTGTGACGTCAGCTCTTAAGCCCTGCGGAGGAATAGTCACATCCAGCCGTGATGTAAGAAGTACTCAGATTTTATACTTAAGTAAAAGTAACAATACTAAATTGTGAAAATACTCTGTTACAAGTAAACGTCCTGCATTCAAATCGTACTTAAAGGTAGGGTAGGTAAGAATGGAGAAAGCAGCTTGAGATCGCTAGAATCTGAAAATACGCAGCCGAAGAAAATCTTCCCCTTCCTTCAGACTTCCTTACAGAGCCCCTCCTCCAACACACGAGCGCGCACATGACCAATGAGGGCACGAGATAAGTTTGTGCACAGATGGAAGGCTGACAGGCAGGTAGGCCATCCAGTTATTTTAGCCGGGCCGGCTCAGATGATTGGTCGTGCTTTCTACAGTACTACAGCTTCCACAGATGATATTTATTTATGGGTTTTTTGTCAAAGCATTTAATGTATTCATTGCTATCAGGATGTTAAGAGCATTCCATGGAATATAACAAAAAGTGTTTCTGAAGTGAATTACCTACCCTACCTTTAAGTAAAAGTACAAAAGTATCTAAATCAAAATAGACTTTAAGTACTAAAAATAAAAGTACTTGTTGGGCGTAATTGACGATTTTATAATCATATAATTTATATTAAAGGAGAGGTGTCATGGCCATTTCCACTGATCATAATTCCATTGTTGAGGTCTACTAAAATAGATTTATACTGTGCATTTTTCCAAACTCACATTGGTTTCTCAAACAGCATCTCTCCAAACTCACATTGGTTTCTCAAACAGCATCTCTCCAAACTCACATTGGTTTCTCAAACAGCATCTCTCCAAACTCACATTGGTTTCTCAAACAGCATCTCTCCAAACTCACATTGGTTTCTCAAACAGCATCTCTCCAAACTCACATTGGTTTCTCAAACAGCATCTCTCCAAACTCACATTGGTTTCTCAAACAGCATCTCTGTAAACTACGTGTATTCACTGAATTTCACTCTCTGCCTTTAACGGCTCGTTGTAGCTCCAAAAGCTCCAGCCCCCACCCTCCCTGTGAGCACAGTGTGCTCTGATTGGTCGGGACGTTGTGAATCGCGCTGAGCTCCGTGGAGGTGTTGCTTCCTTGTTTAGGATACATAGCGAAACACAGCCAAACTCATCCTGAGCACACACAAAGTCACAGCCGAAGTAAAAACAATAAGTGTGGCTTGATATTGAGTAAGAAAAAGGTTGATAAACGCTGTGAGAATGGGTCTGCAGAGAGAACGGGTCTGCGGAGAGAATGGGTCAGCAGAGAGAATGGGTCTGCAGAGAGATTGGGTCTGCAGAGAGAATGGGTCTGCAGAGAGAATGGGTCTGCAGAGAGATTGGGTCTGCAGAGAGAATGGGTCTGCAGAGAGAATGGGTCTGCAGAGAGAATGGGTCTGCAGAGACAATGGGTCTGCAGAGAGAATGGGTCTGCAGAGAAAATGGGTCTGCAGAGAGAATGGGTCTGCAGAGAGAATGGGTCTGCAGAGAGATTGGGTCTGCAGAGAGAATGGGTCTGCAGAGAGAATGGGTCTGCAGAGAGAATGGGTCTGCAGAGAGAATGGGTCTGCAGAGACAATGGGTCTGCGGAGACAATGGGTCTGCGGAGAGAATGGGTCTGCGGAGAGAATGGGTCTGCAGAGAGAATGGGTCTGCAGAGAGAATGGGTCTGCAGAGAGATTGGGTCTGCAGAGAGAATGGGTCTGCAGTGAGAATGGGTCTGCGGAGAGATTGGGTCTGCAGAGAGAATGGGTCTGCAGAGAGAATGGGTCTGCGGAGAGAATGGGTCTGCAGAGAGAATGGGTCAGCAGAGAGAATGGGTCTGCAGAGAGATTGGGTCTGCAGAGAGAATGGGTCTGCAGAGAGAATGGGTCTGCAGAGAGAATGGGTCTGCGGAGAGAATGGGTCTGCAGAGAGAATGGGTCTGCAGAGAGAATGGGTCTGCAGAGAGATTGGGTCTGCAGAGAGAATGGGTCTGCAGTGAGAATGGGTCTGCGGAGGAGATTGGGTCTGCAGAGAGAATGGGTCTGCAGAGAGAATGGGTCTGCAGAGAGAATGGGTCTGCAGAGAGAATGGGTCTGCAGAGAGAATGGGTCTGCAGAGAGATTGGGTCTGCAGAGAGAATGGGTCTGCAGTGAGAATGGGTCTGCGGAGAGATTGGGTCTGCAGAGAGAATGGGTCTGCAGAGAGAATGGGTCTGCAGAGAGAATGGGTCTGCAGAGAGAATGGGTCTGCAGAGAGAATGGGTCTGCAGAGAGAATGGGTCTGCAGAGAGAATGGGTCTGCAGAGAGAATGGGTCTGCAGAGAGAATGGGTCTGCAGAGAGATTGGGTCTGCAGAGAGAATGGGTCTGCAGAGAGAATGGGTCTGCAGAGAGAATTTCGCCGCGATCCCAACTGTCTGTTATCAGCCTGCAGCCAGGGAGGAGAAATCAGCTGCCTGCTCCCTGCACACAGATGTGTGTGTGAGGAAGTCCGTGGATTGGTCAATTTGGACCAATCAGCGGGGGCTTAACGTAACGGCTCCACGGATTGGTCCATTTCGTTCCGGGTACCGCATGACATCAGGCGGTACCCGGAAGAATCAAATGGGCAGTGACGTATCTCCAACGAGGCGTTTTGGGGAGGTATTTTCTGTGTTAGAGTTTTACTCGCTACAGGGTGTACTTTGAGGGTTTTGACTCTGCACACCGTTTACATGCATAAAAACCTTCATAACACAAGGGGACGGGTCATAACCGGAAAAGCATGACATGGGAGCTTTAAATGACTTGAACTTGATTATTGATGCATTAATGTGTCCATCATTGCTGCTGGCTATTTAACCTATAATTATATCTAATCTTTATTTTTTTTTTTTTTTTTTTGTTGTATTAACTAATAAGTAACTAAAGCTGTCAGATAAAAGTAATGGAGTAAAAAGTATAATATATGCTTCTAAAATCTAGTGGAGTAGAAATATAAAGTAGTATACATTTAAAATACTCAGCGTAATTACACAAAAATGTACTTTTCTTCCCACCTTTACAAACCGCCTCACCTCCATCAGAGCAGACAGATCTGATGGAGAAAAACACCATTTCAGTGAAAACACACACCAGCAGCTCAGTGGGGGGGGGGGGGGGGTTGACTACTGTTGCTGGAGGGCACGCGGGCAGCAGCTGACGGACACATGCCCCGCGTCTGTCTGCGGAGCGGTATCCATCACACACACACGCACGCACGCACACACACGCACGCACGCACGCACGCACGCACACACACACACACACACACGCACGCACGCACGCACGCACACACACGCACACACACACACACACACACACACACACACACTCAGCTCCTGGCTTCCTGCTGTACTAAAAGGCTGTCAGAGTGAATCTCCTCTCCTGAGTCTCCGGAGAATCGATGCAGACATCTTCAGGCGAGCCGTTTCAGGACTTCTAGTGATGACAGACAAACTCAAAAACTATAAACTCACCGGGCAACTAACATCTTAAATACAACTCAAACTTTAAAATGCTAGTCTGTTAGGAAAAGAGGCAGTTTAACAGTCTCCTATAGATCAATTAAAAGGTAAAAAGACCACAAAAGATGCTTACTTTAAAGTGGACCTATCATGCTATCTTTAAATGATATATTGTAGGGCCATACCTATATAAGGTATATTTATACGTTTCTGTTTTCAAAATACCAAACAGATCATGCATTTTAGCCATGCCTCATTTCGCTCTATGTGCTGTTTGCTGTCTACGGGTCTGATTCTGCTGACCACGCCCCCCTGCAGGAGAGGGGAGACGTGCTCTGATCAGATGCTGGGCTGTCAGAAGAGGGGGAGAAAAAGAGATCTCCGTCCTCCGTGTGTTATTATATAGAGTCGTTATTCATTTGTTTTAAAGCTCAATAAATAACAAAGAAGACCTTTGACCGGCACTT